TCCATTGTATGCTTGCACAGAAGATATATTTATGAACAACAGTTGCAGGTTACAGTTACAGGTAAGTGCAACTCTGTTTTCTTGGGGTCAGATGGGATGAGTGGAGGGGAACATGGGGGAAAATGTGCTGATGGATCTCGATGTCCAATGCAGTTCGTGTTTTAGATCTGAATAGATATTATCTATTACCATTGGAATTAGGGGGGGGGAGTTTTTGAGAGAGGGAAACAAAGAGTGTTTGCTTTAGTTTTTTACTCCGTGTATTAAATCTGGTTGTAAATGTCCTTCCATAAATGCTGTGCCAGTTTAATGAAACAAGATAGTTGAAATGCATTGATATGTGTTAATATTTGAACTTTTACATGTTGTAGGGAACGCCGGAAAGGTTAACAATGCATTTGGTGGAAGAGCATTCAGTGGTGGATCCGACATTTATAGAGGATTTTCTGTTGACCTACAGGACCTTTCTTTCCAGCCCAATGGAAGTGGGAAAGAAGTTGTTGGAGTGGTTCAATGATCCTAGCCTCAGGGATAAGGTTGCATTTTAAATAATACCTAAATGAAATTTCAAACTATTACAATTAATATACTTAGCCTAACAACTAGTTGTTGGTCTCTTTTGAGAACAAATGTTATATGTTTCCTGTTTGGAAAGCACTTGTATGTAAGAGGGGGAAAGCATGTAAATACTTATATGTTGTACAATGGTAATCCTAACATCTGTTTTATGGTATATACCACGAATATTCACCACTGTCCAAAATTGATATGTGTGTATGTAAAGTGCCGTCAACCCCATGGGTTTTTCAAGACAAAACAGGTGATTTGCCATTGCCTTCCTCTGCATAATGACCCTGGACTTCCTTGGTGGTCTCCCATCCAAATACTGACCAGGGCCGACCTTTCTTAGCTTTCAAGGTCTGATTAGACTGAGCTAACCTGGGCTATCCAGGTTAAGGCAGTACATCTTTAAAGTAAAAAGTAAAGGTCTCCCTTGCTCGAAAGCCACTCGAATCCGACTCTAGGGGGCGGTGTTAATCTCCGTTTCCAAGCCGAAGAGCCAGCGCTGTCCGAAGACATTTCCGTGGTCACGTGGCCGGCATGACTAAACACCAAGGCGCACGGAGTGCTGTTACCTTCCCACCGAAGCAGTACCTATTTACCTACTTGCAATTTCTTGCTTTCGAACTGCTGGGTTGGGAGGACCTGGGGCCAGAGACGGGAGCTCATTCCATCAGGTGGCACTCAGGTCTCGAACTGCTGAACTACCGGCTTTCCGGTCTGCAGTTCAGCGCCTTAACCACTCGAGCCACCGCAGCCCTGCTACAGTAGGAAACGGCCCTCTGCATTTTGTGAAGGAGAACTTCTTTGTAGAATAAGGAAATGAAACAGATATCTGGGGCAAGGGGAAGGTGACCAATACCCCACACAGAAGGTTTCCCTCCTGTCCCCGCTTTGGAAGGTGGACTCCATGGTATTACACCGTACTGAAGACCCTCCCCTCCCCAAACCCCACCCTCCTCAGGTCCCACCCCCCAAATGTCCAGGGATTTCTCAGCCCGGAATTGTCAACCCTACGTGCCAGCCCTGTGGTTATGGGGCATGCGGGCAAGGCTGGCCTCTGGGGTGAAAATGTGGGGCGAAGGCTCCAGTTTGTGTGTGTGTGGGGGGGGACACAGTAGGAGCAGCCCTCTGCTTGGAACACTGTTTTGCATCCCCGTTGGTTTTTTTGGAAGAGCCAGAACTTTTTTGTAGCATAAGGAACTGTAACGGATAACTGGGGCAGGGGGAAAGTAACCAATAACCCTACACAGGTTGTTTCCCTCCTGTCCCCGTTTCAACGTCTTGGTCCTGTAAAAGGAACACGAACTGGGTTCGAGGGGACAGGAGCCCCGCCTGAGTTTAACAATCCATCCAGCCCTGGAACACTCACAGTGGCCAGATGCCAGATGGCTCTTTCTTGACAAGTCAAGGACAAAGTTTATTTAGGAAAGGACATGACGCTTGAGATAAAACATTAACATTTCTGCTCAACAAACCCTCCAAACCTCTCACTCCAGCCCGCCCCCTCCAGCTCCTAACTCCTCCATCAGTGATGTTCATGTGGGTGGACTCAGAGCACAGCTCCTTATCTGGGTTACCGTCCACTGTTCTGCCAGTCGCAGGAAACGTCCCTGGGGCAGGTGCCCCCCAAAAGTGAGTGTTCCCGATCACACTCCAAACACCCCCTCCCCAAATCCCTCTGCTTTAAGGTGGTAAAGGTTCCCCTCGCTCGAAACCCAGTCGAGTACGACTTGGGGTCCCTCCAGCTCCTAACTCCTCCATCAGTGACGTTCATGTGGGTGGACTCAGGGCACAGCTCCATCCCTGGGTTACCGTCCACTGTTCTGCCAGTCACAGGAAACGTCCCTGGGACAGGTGCCCCCTAAAAGTGAGTGTTCCCCGATCGCACTCCAACCACCCCCTCCCCAAATTCCTCCGCTTTAAGGTGGTAAAGGTTTCCCTTGCTCGAAAGCCAGTTGAGTTCGACTCTACGGGGTGGTGCTCATCTCCGTTCCCAAGCCGAAGAGCCAGCGCTGTCTGAAGACTTCCCCGTGGTCATGTGGCCTGCAGTTCAGCGGCTTAACCCCTTCCTCCAAACAGCTCAGGGTGCTTACAGAGTTCTCCTTCCTATCTTTCACCTGATCTCTTCCTCATTCTGTCCTGCCGGAAACCCAGTGAGGAATGTCCTTTTTGTCTCAAGGCTGTAACACCTGAAGGGCTGAACCCTGGAGAATCCGTTCCTTTTTTTAATTATTCAAGCGAGAAATTTAACTTTCCAGCCTCGAATCTCAAAAGAACCATTCCATCCTAATCGGATGGGCCTGAGAGGAAGCGAAGAAAGACAAAAGGACAAGGGAATTCACGGCACTCACAGATATGGCTGACCCCAAGGCCTTCATTCCCCAAGGTCACAATTCCAGCCCACCGGTGTTTTGAGTATGCAGAAAAGAGGGGAAATAGAGGAGAGAAGAATGATGTGAGCTGCTTTGCGTCCCCATTGGGAAGAAAAGCAGGGTAAAAATTAAACCAATAAACACTTTTCTTTTTAGAAGAAGAGGAGATTGGATTTATACCCTGCCCTTCAATACCAAAAGTGTCTTAGAGCGGCTTAGAAATGACTTTTCCTTCCCCTCACCACAACAGCCACCCTGTGAGGCAGGTGGGGCTGAGAGAGCTCTCTCGAGGACTGTTCGCGGGAGAACAGCTCCGGGAGAACTTGTGACTCACCCAAGGCCACACCAGCAGCTGCATGTGGAGGAGTGGAGAATCAAATGCTGTTCGCCCAGAGTCCGCGCTCCTAACCACTACACCAAACTACCTCTTTTTCTTTTTTTTTAAGTGACCCAACAGAAAAACAAAAGCATTTCCTAAAGTGACCACATAAAAAGAGGGGCATCAGTGTAGATTGCAAACGTCCCTTTCGGGGGATCTAGCCGACAAGATTAAAGAATCACTTTCACTGGGGGAAAGGTCACATGCCCTTCACGTGATCCAGTGGCTCCCTTCCTCCATCCACTCCACTGACTTCTAAGGTTTTTTTTAAAAAACAATGGTACTCATTAACTACTACTGATTTAACACAGGTGCTTTAGCCCAGTGCCTGATTTTTTTAAAAAAATCCTTACAGAGTTGATTTCACTGACCTGTACTGATTTGCTCTATAAAAGCTATTTACTCATTCTATTAACATCCTGCCTTTCTCACCCACACACAGACCCAACGTCCTCCGCTCCCCCATTACTATCCGCACCACAACCCTGCGAGGTAGGGCAGGCTGAGAGCACATGGCTGGCCCAAGGTCACCCAGGAACCTTCCAGGGCAGCACAGGGATCTGAACTCGGGTCCCCCAGATACCTGTCCGACACGCAAACCACAATTTACGAAAGCCATTAGAGAAAAGATCATTAAAGGATGTAAACTGGCAAAGCAGAAGTAGCACCACAGATAGACTAATATCCAGGGGAAAAGTTCAAGCTCAGTGGCACCTTTTATCTGACACAAGGAAATTGCACACGAAAACTCATCTATCTTGAATAAAACTCTGTTGGTCTTCAAGGCGCCGCTGGACTCGAACTCTGTTCTGCCGCTTCAGACCAACACCTGAATTATACTAATATATCCAGGTGCAGAAGGAAAGGGAAGCAGAGAGAAACGAACCTCACCGTCCAAATGGGAAAAGAACAGCCAACTCAAGTGATTTCCAAGTTAATTTAGGATCTATATTTATTAATTAAGGATCTTAATTTAATTTACTATTTTTTAATCCCACCCTTCCCCTGAGGGGTGTGTGGTCCTCCCCTCCTCGATTTCACACTCACAACAATCCTTTCAGGTAGGCCAGGAAGAGGAGCTTAAAGTCGCCCAGTCAACTTCCTGGTTTAAAGTCACCCAATAAGTTCCCTAGTTTAAAGTCACCCAATAAACTCCCTGGTTTAAAGTCACCCAATAAACTCCCTGGTTTAAAGTCACCCAATAAGTTCCCTGGTTTAAAGTCACCCAATAAACTCCCTGGTTTAAAGTCACCCAATAAGTTCCCTGGTTTAAAGTCACCCAATAAACTCCCTGGTTTAAAGTCACCCAATAAACTCCCTGGTTTAAAGTCACCCAATAAGTTCCCTGGTTTAAAGTCACCCAATAAGTTCCCTGGTTCAAAGGCATCCAAATACGTTTCCTGGCTCGGGGCTGGGGCCTAGCTCTCCCCTCCTCCTTTCAATTTATTCATTTCTTCATATTTATAGTACGCCCTTCCCGCGAGCGGGCTCAGGTCGGGTAACAACAGCTCAACGGTCCACTAAATAATTTTTTAAAAATGTAAAATATTATTCCCCCACGACGACCCTGCGAGGTAGGCCACTCTGAAGAGGAGCGACCGGGCCAGGGTCCTATATGGAGGCGGGGGCCAGGGTCGTGGGCTTGAGGCCTCCCCAACCCCAGCCGGGCCTTCACCTCGACTCACCTCCACTCGTGCTCTCCGCAGCCGAAACCGACCCGACGCCCGGCCCCTCTGTGAGCCGGCTTCTTTCGTCGACGCGACTGAAGCTACCGCTGGCTCCGCCCCCTCCCGCCTCTCATTGGCCGAAACGTCCCGCTTCCAAGGAGGCGGGGCGAGCCAGCCGCATTCCGCCTCCTCTGATTGGCCAGCGGCTGCGATTGACGTCCCCGGATTAGAGAACGCGCCGGTCTGCCGTCACGCGGGCTGACGTCACGATATTATGCAAGACCCGGCGGCGAAGGGGAAGCCGGGAAAATCCCAGTCCGTTCCTCCTTCAGTGCCGCCGAAAGGAATGATCCGTTTCTACAACGCTAAGTCTTTAGGAGCCGGTACCGACGCGCCGCGTCTGCGAAGGCCGTAGAACGAGGCAGCCTCTCCCTGCCAGACCGTTCTTTCTGCGGAAACACCGGCGAGAGAGCAAATGGAGGCAAGGAGAGAGAAAAACTACATTTCCCAGGAAGCCCCGCGCCTTGCGCGAATACGCTTCTGGATGGAGCCATAACTTTTTTTAAAAAAAAAGGCTGAGGTTTAAGGCATCGATTCTTTTAGAGAACGTTTTAGGCATTGAGGGGTCCGGTTTTGTAAGTTTCCCACATTCCCGTGCTCTGCACAGGGAGCTTCCGGTCCCCTGGAAGGTCAGTCGCTCCTGCTGGCCAATCAGAGGACGCGGAATGTGTAGTCGTCATCGCTGACCCGCCCCGCTTTCTTCTCGGAAAGGCGGTAATTCCTAATATGGGGTTTGTTTGTGGGTGATGGGAAATCCTCCCTCTCTTTTGTTACTATTAGCGGGCTGCTTTGATTTGGCAGTTTAAAGAAACGATTGATGAATAGGACTGACCTTTCTTCAGTGCGTGATATTTATCATGTCAGCAGTAAAATGATGCAGATTTATGGCATGTTGATTTCATTTAAAGAAGCAGTCAGCCACCACGTGGGATGGATCCCAAAGTAAAATCCAAAACTCAGAACATAAACTCCATAACACATTTTAATAGGACCAACCAAGTGACACACAACAGTGTTCCGCTTTACTTTTCTTTTTTAATTTATGTTGTATCCGTTCTTCAGACACCTCCGTGTCACTA